TTTGTATGTTCGTCTTGCTGCTCTTCACTACCCTCATGTGTCTCCTCAGCAAAGCATAAACTGCTGCTGCTGCAGCAGCAGCAGCAGCAGCAGCAGATGCTGCAGCAGCAGCAGAATATGCAGCAGTAGTAGCAGATGCAGCAGCAGCAGAAGATGCAGCAGCAGCAGCAGATGCAGCAGCAGCAGAAGATGCAGCAGCAGCAGCAGAAGATGCTGCAGCAGCAGCAGATGCTGCAGCAGCAGCAGAAGATGCAGCAGCAGCAGCAGATGCTGCAGCAGCAGCAGAAGATGCAGCAGCAGCAGAAGATGCAGCAGCAGCAGCAGATGCAGCAGCAGCAGCAGATGCAGCAGCAGCAGCAGATGCAGCAGCAGCAGCAGATGCAGCAGCCGTAGCAGATGCAGCAGGTACAGCAGGTACAGCAGCAGCAGCTGCAGCAGCAGAAACTTCAGCAGCTGCAGCAGCAGCAGCAGCAGCAGTAGAAGGAGCAGCAGCAGCAGCAGCAGCAGCAGCACTGGGAGCAGCAGCAGCAGCTGCTTTCGCGCTTTAATATATTTTACTAAACTGCTGCAGCGCCGCCAAAAAACAAAAAAAAATAAAACAAACATTTTAGTTTTTTTTAATTTAATTTAGTTTTTATTTATTTATTTATTTATTTATTTATTTATTTATTTATTTATTTTTATTTATTTATTCTGTGTTTCGTTTATATTGTTTTATTGTCTATCTCTCTCTTTCTTCTCTGTTTTATTTTATTTTATTTTGTCTCCTTCTGTCTCCTTTCTGTCTCCTTTTTGTCTCCTTTTGTCTCCTTTTTCTCTCCTTTTGGCTCTTTCCTTATCTCCTTTCTTTTGTCTCCTTTCTGTCTCCTTCTTCTGTTCTGTCTCTGTCTCCTTTCTGTCTCCTTCTTCTCTGTCTCCTTTTTGTCTCCTTCTTCTCTGTCTCCTTCTTCTCTGTCTCCTTCTTCTCTGTCTCCTTTCTTTCTTTTGTCTCCTTTCTCATATCCTTCCTATTCTCTGTCTCCTCATTCACTGTCTCCTTATTCTCTGTCTCCTTTCTGTCTCTTTCTTTTCTGTCTCTTTCTTTTCTGTCTCCTTCTTCTCTTTCTCCTTTCTGTCTCCTTTCTGTCTCCTTCTTCTCTATCTCCTTATTCTCTGTCTCCTCTCTGTCTTTTTTTTTCTTTTGTCTCCTTCCTTATCTCCTTCTTCTTTTCTGTCTCTTTATTCTCTGTCTCCTTTCTTTTGTCTCCTTTCTGTGTCCTTCTTCTTTTCTGTCTCTTTCTTCTCTGTCTCCTTATTCTCTGTCTCCTTTTTGTCTCCTTTCTGTCTCCCTTTTTTCTGTCTCTTTATTCTCTGTCTCCTTCTTCTCTGTCTCCTTATTCTCTGTCTCTTTCTGTCTCCTTATTCTCTGTCTCCTTTTTGCTTTCTTTGTGTCTCCTCCTTTTCTATCTCTTTCTTCTCTCTGTCTCCTTTCTTTATCATTTCTCTCTCTTTTTTATCTGTCTCCTTTTTGTCTCCTTTCTGTCCCCTTCTCTCTCTCTCTTTTATATCTTCTTTCTGTCTCTTTCTTCTCTGTCTCCCTCTTCTCTGTTTCCTTTCTGTCTCTCTCCGTTTCCTTTCTGTCTCTTCTCCGTCACCTTTCTGTCTCTTTTCTGTCTCTTTTCTGTCTCTTTTCTGTCTCTTTTCTGTCTCTTCTCTGTCTCCTTCCTCTCTGTCTCCTTTCTGTCTCCTTTCTGTCTCCTTTCTATCTCTTCTCTGTCTCCTTTCTGTCTCCTCTCTGTCTCCTTTATGTCTCCTTTCTGTCTCCTTTCTGTCTCCTTTCTGTCTCCTCTCTGTCCCCTTTCTGTCTCCTTTTTCTGTGTATCCTTTTTCTCTGTCTCCTTTTTCTCTGTCTCCTTCTCTAAGCACAGCAGCAAATACCTCTGTTCGCCCCTCAAGTAAAACCCTCTAAACCCTAAACCCTAGCCTCTAAACCCTAAACCCTAGCCCCTAAACCCTAAACCCTAACTCTCAAACACTAAACCCTAAACCCTAAACCCTAGACCATCAGGACTTTCTTTGTCATCTTTTCTTTTTTCTTTTTCTGCATTCAGTATATAATACTAAAATAAAAAATATAAAAAAAATAAAAAAAATAAAAAAAATAAAAAAGAAAAAACAAAAAGATATCGGGCGGATGGTGTAGTGGTATCACGTCTGATTTGCATTCAGGAGGTCCCGGGATCGATCCCCGGTCCGTCCACAAAAATTTTTTTATTTTTTTTTTTTAAATAAATTAAATTTAATTTATTTATTTTATTTTTAATTTAATTTAATTTAATTTAATTTAATTTAATTTAATTTAATTTAATTTAATTTATTTATAAAGATGCAACATTTTCTTTTTATTTTTATTATATAAACGAACGCCAATTCTTTTATTTATTTATTTTGTCTTCTTTTTCTTTATATAGTTTTATTTATTTTTAAATATATTATTTTTAATTTGCTCTATGTAGCCCCTAAACCCTAAACACAGATGAAGGGGAGCCCTTGGGGGCCCCCTTGGGGGGCCCCCCAAGGGGCCCCACGGATGCAGCAGCAGCAGCAGCAGCAGCAGCAGCAGCAGCAGCGAAGTTATCTAAAACTGCTGCTGCATGCATGCAAGACTCAAAAAGATATAAAAAATTATTTAGAGTATTTTTATGTTCATTTGGTCATCAGCAAAGTGAAACTACAAATGTCTAGGGTTTAGGGTTTAGGGTTTAGGGTTTAGGGTTTAGGGTTTGGAGATGCTGACACAGCAAAGATGACGGAGCCAACGAGCGACATACCTTCCTCTGATCCCTCCTCTCCTGCAGCATCAGCATCAGCAGCAGCAGCAGCAGCAGCAACAGAAACAACAGCTGCAGCAACAACAC